TCATTCTGGAAGTTCTATGAAATTTTATTGTAAATTTTACCTGGAGTCTCCAAACAAATATTGCCTTGGAAATGACGTCAAAAGGAGGGAAGGGTTTCCTTTTTCAACATTCAATAAAGTTTTGTCCCTGGAAAAACTGGTATACACCTTGGAAATGTTTAAACTGACAACGGAGAAACATTTTGCATCCAAATTATTTGTTTTTTAATGCCAAAAAAAGATTCAGGGAGAAAATGGGTGCAAAGTTAATGTCAATTTGTAGTCAATGTTTGAAAAATCTGCCACGTCAAATAATGACGTTGATCATGTATTTTAGCTTTATTGAACTCAAAAAAACAAAATGTGCTGGCACAATCAAGAGAGAATCTCTCCTAATGTATAAATCCATTTGCAATAATATATGCATTGAAAGCTGCTGTTAATGACAATGTTAAGTCATACAAACAAGACAGGTTGAATTCCTTACTCATCTCTAGAGAATCTCATCAAAATAAGTGTACGAGGTGGAAGAAGCGGACATTGAAAAATAATGACGTTGTCGGACGTCATGAAACTAAGCGGCGACAGCGCCGGGTGGTCATATAATGTTTTTATTTTATAATAATTTGGAATATAATGAACGTACTAAGTTAAAATTTTCAAAATTTCTTTATTTTTTGTTGTTGTCTGTTCCTTATAAATTTTGTAAGCTCAGACAACATAGTACTAATTTTAAAGCTTCAGTCCACGAACTTTTTGATAACCCCTCGTACATGTATATAAATACGTACATTTCAACACAACTAAATATGAAAAGCCGTGATTTCACGTATGCAGATTTATGTCATTGGTAATAATGCCATATACATGTGAATTTCGTCAAATGATTGCATACAGTCAATAAATACGGCACATGCATTTGTTTTTGTATGGTTGTTGTTTTTTTAAAAATATTTGATTGATTTATATTTATTTATTTGGTTTTATTTATTTGGTGTGAATTGGTTTTTTATATCAGAACTTTCCATAAAGCAGATGGAAAAAAAAGGATAATTGTTGTACAGATAAATTATTGATAAATATCTCGCGAGATTTTATCAATTGGAGGAATCAAGAAAGTTCATCTTTGAAATGTTGAGCTTTGATAAGCTAAAACAGGACGCGTGACTCTCGGCTTAATTTTTTCGCCAAAAGGCGAGAATTAGCATCTTTGAATTTGATTACGAATGGCTAATTTATTTTGACATTTGGGACCTATTTTGCAGAAACCAATTTCTCTGTTTTCTCTTTAAGGTTATAGGTTTGGCCATTTTCAGAAATATTGTACGATTTTTTTTGACCAAGTATTTTAAAAAGCGTCGATAGTCCCCACTCCCATGCACCCCCGAAAAAAAATCACAGTTCAGCAGCATTGATTTAAGAACTGCTTTTGATACAGTCTGATTTACTTGGGAGAACTAATAAATTAGCAAATAATTTCAAATGCTATGTATGTAATCAACTTTTGCAAAACAATACATAAACATCATCATACGAAAGCCCATTGGGCTCATTTTTGTAGTTAAGAAACTTACTTTTTCGCGAATTAACAGAAAACTCATGCGAATAAACGCGTAACCTTCGCGTTACAACGCAAAACATCTGCTATTTAACTTAGACAATTGCTTAAGTCTCAACTTTCTTTTGATTTTGTGATCAAGTTTATTTATTACAAAGATAAACAAAAGGTTATTTTGATCTTTGACTATCCCAAGTTACAATTTCAGTTTTCTTGCTATAGAGTCCATCCTTAATTACCGTCACATTCTGTCTTCCTCAACGCTGCTCCAACAATTCAAAGTTTATGCGAGTTATTTTTCAAAAGTTAAACTTTAAGATTATGAATTTCGGGAAAAATTATCCCTTCCCGGCGTCTTTTTATTCATTCGCTATAGAATTTAAACAAAAACAAGTTTATTTTATAAAGATCAAGATCTCAGAAAATTGACAAAATGTGGTACATTTGTCCATTTTGTCCACACACATTTATGGGAATTGGATAGCAGATGTTCATTTTTCTCCGTTAGATTCACGGTAAAAATAACAATATAATATTTTTAGGTTGCGCCGTGTGGTCATTCCGTTGCTTACAAAAACATTGATAATTATTTCAATGTGTATTAACCCTGCTGTTTACCTTGAGAGCTTTGATTGATAGCGCAAGTCCACGAACTTCACTATAGACCGTGGGATATATAGGTATTGGAGAAAATTTAAGAACAGTATTCCTCTCCTCCTCGATAAATTTGTAACGAACAATTTCCAATTATAATTTTTTTTAAACAGCTCATGAAATGATACATTGTTCACTCAGTTTTAAGTTATGTTTCTGCTGGTTATTATTTTTGGTCCAAATCATTCATTGCTTTATTTACTAGTGGTAAAAATGTAGAAAGTTTTTGTTTAAAAATCAGCCTGAAAAAAGTAACACTTGGGGATTTTCATTTAAAATATAATCAGTCGAAAGAATTTCTTGAATTAAGCAATTGGAAGGCATGTTCAAGAATGTAAAATTCATTACATAAATTGATAGTGCTATGTAAGGTTTTAGAATAAAAAAATATACTCTTACGACTTATCCATCCTATTCTCACATTATTTCTCCAGTATATCTTCTGAGAAAATGATATTTTAGAAAGTTTCAATCTGTGATCATATTCTTAGCTGTCAGTTAAGATTAAGGTAATATAACTTTTTGCATATTACTAGCTAACCTGAGCAGAGGGCTCAAGTGAGCTTTTCTGATCAAAAGGAGTATATTTGATAAGAGCCAATTCTGGCCCCCTAAAAATCAACATTTTAGAATGACATTCAGATATGTTTATTTGATATTTATTTTGTAGAAGAAATTATATTAGAAATATTTTAAATATATTTTTACATATATATGCACTCACTGTAAATGACATGCGAAATGATACTATTTTTTTCTATCCAACAAAAAAGCCTAACATATGCCTTTTTCTTGATGTTTTTTCGTATGGGAAACATAGAGCGCAGTGTAGAACATGGCTTGCATAATTTTTTCTGTAATTAGTATTGGATAGATACATCAAGTTTGTTCAAATCATAACCCCTTGGGCAAGGATGTGGCTATAATGGGTTTTCAAGGTTTTGGATAGGAATGCATAGTAAAAATCGTTTAAATTCTTTAGAGAGCCATCATGATGATTGATCATCAAATTAAGAGCATTAAAAAGGTTATGTAGATTTGAAATTCAGGAAAAAAGAGGAACCATAAAGTTAACAAATGAATACAAAGGCTATATCAATAAGATTTATCATCTTATTAACAACACAGCCATAGCTTGTCACAAAAGCAATCTAAGGATGTGTAGATTTATGTTTGTTTATATACCCCCGCCCATACCCTCCCACGAACCCTTTTTTATGATATATGTAGACATTTTCAATACTGATCTAATTTATGCTAGCCAGTTGCTCAGATGAACAAAGTGGCCCTTGGGCCTCTTGTTTCGGGAAATCACGAAAAGGTTTCACGTTATTACAGACTTAAAAATTGAATTGTATATTTAAAAAGGAAACTCAATTTTATAAAATATTTTATCAATTTTTTTTAAAGATAAAGTAAACTTAAAAATCCACTTGTAAGTAAAAAAAAAATTTTTAAGCTTGATTTAAGCGTTAAAAAATTATACATGTACACCATGTGTTCATCTTAATTTATTTAAAATTCATAGGTGATACAGAAAATACTTGCAGTGTTTTTTTTCCTCACTTAACAAAGTCGTGGTGGAGGGTTGAATGCATGTTTATAACTGAAATTAATATCTTTTTTATCAGGATACATTTATTTTTTGCCATAGGAAGCTCCGCGGTGCCCTTATATGTTCGGATGGATTTCTCTTTTTTCATGGCACATATTTGCATTCAGAATGTACCGGCCCGTTTTAGATTCTAGTCAGAAATTAATAATATTTTGTTGAAATATCATTGATAAAAAAATGCAACCGTTACGTCTCTTTCTTCTATTTAAAGTCTTTACTTGTATATGCTAGCTACAGGATTAATATTAGTTAAATTTACTGTATGGAGATAAAAATTAATAGTTGAATAAATATGCCTCTATTGTATGCATTTTCCTCACACCCTATTACCTTAGGTAAACAGGTACTTGTTTAATTATCAATTTGACGTTTTTTGCCTAACGCAATTATTTTACGTTATAGTAAGACATTATTGACGTTATAGACGTAAAGTTATTCGGCATCGAAAAATCTTCTTTCATTACAGTTGAGAGGATATCCTATACGGTTATATCTATGCTAAATAATGATCATAAAACATTTATATAGCGCCCTATTTAAAATGGATTACTCTAAGGCACTGAACATGCAACTTCTCTAATAAGCAAGTATTTTAAAACAACATAAAGTTCAAAACACCTAAAATTATAATACAAGGTGTTTACTGGCATACGAGTAAGCTAAAATAACTAAGATGCAAGATCAACTTAAACATTCATAAAAAAACAGGTTGTGCATCTTAGAAACGATAAGTCTTACACCCCGTTGAAAAGTTTAAAAATTTAATTTGTAAAGCTGAACCATTTTGTGCAACTTTTTAGGATAAATGTAGATTTTGATGAATTTCATCGGTCATTTCACGAGAAGAAAAATTAGAACAAGATGTGTTTGTGAAACATTATGCGCTCGGCGGCAACAGATTTTGAAAAAGCTACTTTTTGCATATAGGTCACAATCAAGGACACAAGGGTATTGATCTTGGAATCATTTGAAAAGCTTAATTAGTGAAGTATGCAAACCAAATATGAAGTCTATCCCTCACGCTTCAAACGTTATGGCTAAAGTTTAAGTTGATAAAATACAATCAGATAAACAGACAGAGAGGACAAAAACAATGTACGCCCCACTATCGATCCGGCGCATGAAAAGTGTCATTTCCTTCCTCACTGACTTTATATAAAAAGAAATCTTATTATGATTTTTCTACGGTATAGGAAGTACTGTTATTCACATAAAGATGTAATTTGATACTTGTAATTTCGGTTTCTTTAAAATGTTTCGTGCAGTCAATACAGAAGTTGTTTTACAAATAAGTATTTTTCTATTGACGAAATCTGCATTTGGTAGTGAGTATATCCTTTTAACAATTACTTTATGTTTTGCAGAAAAAAAATCAAACGTTAAAACAGTAAATGTTAAGAATTTTTAATGAACTTAGTTTCAGCCATTTTGATGTATATATAAGAAACAGCTCATGAAAAATAATAATGCCTAAAAGCAATCCTTTTTAAAAAAAAAAAAAATGCTTTTTAGCTCACCTGAGCTGAAAGCTTTTCTGATCACATTTTGTCCGGCATTCGTCTGTCTGTCTGTCTGTCTGACCGTCTGTTCGTCTGTCTGTAAACTTTTCACATTTTTATCTTTTTCTCAAGAACCACTGGGCCAATTTCAACCAAACTTGCCACAAAGTATCCTTATGTGTATGGAATTCAATTCTTGGGTAAAGGGGATTCAAGTTTGTTAAAATGAAGGGCCACGTCTTCTTCCAAGGGGAGATAATTATGAATTAGTGAGAAAATAATGGAATTTAAAAAAATTTACTTCTCAAGAGCCACTGGGCCAGGGAAGATGAAACTCATGTGGAATCATCCTCAGGTAGTGTTAATTCAAGTTTGTTCAAATCATGACCCCCGGGGTAGGGCGGGGCCACAATGGCCGACTAAAGTTTTACATAGAAATATATGGAATTTTTTTTTTAATCTTCTTCTCAAGAATAACAAAGCCATGATTGGTCACATTTATATGGAAGCATCCTCAGGTAGTGTAGATTCAAGTTTGTTCAAGTAATGACCCCCGGGGGTAGGGCGGGGCCACAATGGCCGACCAAAATTTAACTTAAAAATATATGGGAATTTTTTTTTAAGATATTCTTCTCAAGAATTACAAAGCCATTATTGGTCATATTACAAGCATAGAGAATTAAAAAAACCTGAGGAAATACTGAGTGGTAATGAGAAACCTTGAGTGGTACTGAGCTCAAAGTGAGTTAACTGAGGTAATCCTGTGTAGCACTGAGGGTTTTACTATGGATACAAAAATCATATTGATCGAGAGGCACTTAGGCTTAATCTGTTAGTATTGAGAAGGTACTGGGGAATACTGAGGTTGTTCTGGGGCCACTGAGCTAATACTGAGTAGCCCTGAGGTTTAACACTGTGTCTACTGAGGTTATCCCGAGTAACACTGAGGCTATTTTCTCAAAAATAATATTTTTTTTGTTTTATTGTAATCTAGAGGTCAGATTTCATTTATATTTCGCCCAAATCGATAGACCGAGGCGAAAATTGCTCTGTCCTGTCTGTCTGTTTGTCCGCAAACATTAATTTTCCTAATAACGTTTGAACAATGAAAGATATAGAATTCATTTATGACATGCTTACTCCACTAAATAAGCTCTTTCAAGGTACACCAAGATCAATGACCTTGTCCCTTAGATGAATTGTTTTAGCTTTATGTTCATTCAATAAATTAATTATTTGCATAAATTGTTCGGAAATTTTATAGGGATATCTAACTGAGTGCTCTATGCAATTTTATTTTCTGAAATATGATATCTGATTTCATTTTCTTTGATGAATATGTAACACTTAAAAATTCAAATAGCCTAAATGATTTTGAGTTTTAGAATGTTAACATATTAGTACAAATATCTAAATCACAAAAGCCCAAACTGATTTGGTATACTGAATTTAATATTTAAGTTCAAAAATCTTAATTTTATAGTTTCCATTTCACAAACTGAAGTTAAGTAGCATTCTTTGTCTCTTATGTTTAAAATTACTTCAAACTTCTAAATTTCAACTTTCAAAATGTTTATTTTTTTTTATGGTGTCATATTTATGCCATCCACATTACTTTTTGTTTACATAGCATATCATGTCAAAACAAGATAACTATCTTGTCAAATCATGATTATTTTATTGTTTGTCGATAAACATCGATTTTATATTTCTTGTCCAGTCAAAATAAGCAATCGTATTTCAGCGATAGTTATTTCATTCATGATGCAAAATAAATTATCTCGTCATGTCTAAAAATATGATCTTGACTGGAAAAGACATAAAGTCGATGTTTGTCGACAAACCAGAATGTTGTCATGACTTGATAGATAATTATCTTAACTTGACATAATAAAATTATGCAATGTTAACAAAAAGTTATATGGATGGCGTAAATATGCCACCATAATTTTTATTTGTTACTTTTATTCAACATTCAAATTTCAAAAATCAAACTACTTTGAGATTTTAGAATTTTACTTCAAATATTCTCATTATGAAATTCTTAACATGGTTTAAATTTTGAAACTATTTCAAAAACTCTTTTGGTAAAGCAAAAAAAAAAGCTATTAGATAGTAAGAATATCAAACTGATATTCAAAATTAAATTCGGTCTGGAAATTTGATATTTTGGATATTCAAAGTAAGATTTTAAAGCTCAAAAAATTAAGGTTCCTTGAAATTCCAAATTTTCTAAAATTTTAAAACGTTTAAAGTTGGATTTTAGAAACTGGAAGCTAATTATGAATAATCAGAAGAGGAAAACTATAGATTTTTAAATTTACACTTGAACAAACGGAAGACGAAAAACCCAAACTTTTGAAATACACAAATAACTTTGGGCAATTTGAATTTTGAAAATTTAAGGTAAATACCTAAAGTTTCAAAATTTTCAAATTTGTTAGATTTTTTAACTAAAATATCACAATTCAATATAACAAATAAGTTTGAGTTTTTGAAATTAAGGAATCAGTTTGAGTTTTTGAAATTTAGAAATTTGAACATCTTTATAATCATTCTAAAACTCAAAATTATTATAGAAATTTGAATTGTTAAGTGTTATGTCTAGGTCACATTTAAGCAGATGGTCGGGCGACTTTTTTTCTGGTATAGTCGGCTGAAGGAATATGATCGGCAGACACGAGTTTCAGGCGACACGGAGCACTTACATTAATTCCTAGGAACACCGATGACTTAGATAACACAAAAAATCTTTTTTTTCTTTAGAAATCAGCAATATTTTTCATAGATCTATAATCGGATAATTGCCCAAAGTTAAGTTTGCAAGGCAAAATGGCAGAATTTTGTAAGATTGTGACCCAATGTTGAAAATGTGTGCAAAATTTTGTATAGAATTTCACAGAAAACGACAAAAGGCGCATATTAAAGAAGCAAAGAAAACTTAAGATTTCGTTTTATTTCACGTTATTATCATTTATGTTATTTACATTCAAAAAATGCATAAATCAACCGAATTCATAAACTGACCACCGATGCTCGGACGATGATCGAAGGTTGCTTCATTAAAGGTATGTCATTCGTCAGCTTTTTAGAAAAGTTCACACAGAACCTCTTCCTTCAAAAGCATTATTCTAATTCAATTTTTATAATATATTTAAATTCAACAACGTAATAAATTGTTCAACTTTCAATGAAAAAAAAAACTGGTCAAAAATCTGTAAAGAAGCAAGATTTACTATGGGCTATTTCTTGTGCTGGAAGGATATTTAGCAGAAAATTCTGCAATTCTTCAAATTTATTAAATTTAATATCTTGGAATTTTAGCCTCATATACATTTACTTGGAGAATAATTGGAGAATAAGTCATATTTTTAGAACAAATTTTACAACTTTCCTTATCAAAGTTTGCAGAGAAATGAAGAAGTCAAGATATAAATTTCAATGTTTTTTTGCCTGAAAATCACATGTTTTGACCAGTATTTCAAAATAAAAATCATTGATCCCAAGTTTTTCTACCATTATTTTAAACTACTTGATACTTGTGACTGATCATACAAAAAATTGTATTAAAAAATTGGATACAAGAAAATATTTTAATGCCTATTTAGATTTTTAATACCCCAAATAAATATGTTACTTTTCCAGTGCAAAAAGGTCACACAATAATTTTCGTGCATTAATTTGCAAGATTTTTTTCACACTTTAATATTATTCAAACCATTTTACGTAAAATAAGATTACATTTATATTTATTGTTATAATTACATATGACAACATACGATAAAGATTAAAGTAATTAACCAAAGAGTAAAAATATAAGGTGGGCCCGTACTTTCAGAATTTTCTGTCAAACTGATAATTTTTTAATTCGAATACCTTAAATAAGTATTACACTAACTAAAACACCCATAAAAGACATTTCTTTGCAGGTTAATTTTCATACAACAGGTAAATTTTCATACAATACGTCTCAGGGCACATGCCTCTAAAAACTCAACAGCCAAAATTGAACAAAAAGAAATGTGATATCATATTTTATTAAGTTATGCACCAAATCACATCAAATGTATGTTTAAAAAAACTTATGAAAATCAAAAATATTCATTTGTCAATAGAATATTTAAAATCTTTATTGCTAAATATTAACAAATTGACGTTGAATATATCCATGTCTTCCAGGAAAATATCTCGAAATATCTTTATTTTTTTTTTATAATTCTCAAAATCTAAACTGTTTAGGTGCAAGTTTTTCTTTAAATCTATTAAGAAGTATATCTTAAGTTAACAAAAACACATATGTTATTGTGGTTGACCGGAGATTTTTAACAAAACAGTCATTTGAGGACGTATACCCCCAAAGTGATAATTTCCGTAAATAATGTACATTGAATGCTTTGTATGCACAATGACACTATAATAAATAACTACATACTTGCTAAATTATTTTCAATCACCCAAAAATGTTTTATTTCAACAGATAAGTGATAATCAGAATTTTATATTGAAGTGTAAAATTAAAAACAGATCCGTAAAAGTACGGATCTTCCGTAAGCGCTTTATTTTACCATAGCTCAGAAAAATTCTCACTGACCCCCTTTTTTCTTTACCATTTTTGGTCATACTATATGAGTACTTATCCAAACTTTACTTCTCAAAAATTCCTTGATTTAACAAATTTGACGAGTGACATACCTTAAAGAAATAGGTTACCGTCGCAGAAAATAATATAATTTGGACTGATGGACACAAAATTTGTCGGCCGATCAAAAAAAAAGGGTCAAAATCGGGCAAGACAACAGTCGATGAACTGATGGCTGTCACCTTAA